TAATTGATCTAAAGAGGAATGTGCATGATTAATATTTAATAAAATACAACAAAAGTGGTTTATAGGCCTGTAACCTAAAATAAAACGTAAATAGCGTATAGATCTAAACCTTAAACCTATTGGCCTTGTAAACGAGTGTTTATGTATACTAGAAATTACAATTTATTATTTGCGGGAAGTTACTAAAACTACAATAACTTTAAAACAAAATGAGCAAACTTCGAATTTTCTATTTACAAATTGAAGCATTGCATTATTCACACAAGTATATTAATTTAGGTTACTATACGGTGGATTAAAAAGGCCTTAAACACCCTCCTAAATAAGTTGTTCAGGCATGGTCAGATCTCAAAGTGTTCTAGGTTTTTAAGAAAAGGAAGTTCTGCTTAAATATAATATAAAATAGCTGCTAGCTAGTGTGACCAACGAAGTAGAGGATCGAGGGATGAAGCTCACAACCCTTTGGTTTATTTAATCGCGCATTCCGCAATGAACTAGTGAACTAATTAGGGTAAGGCCAGCCAAAAAACAATAACAAAACATAAATAGACAAATAAAAAGATTAGCTACCTTGCTTTAGGCATAAAATATTCAATCAAATATCAAAAATCTTTGTCCTACTTCGAATGATGGAAAACGCAAACATATAACAACAGTGCAGTAGCAGACGATTTTTGGCTAGCAGACAACGCATGCTAATAAGCTGAGCAAAGCGCATACTTTGCTAGGGATAATGGAAATTTCGGCATTTTGTTGAAGTTTCCACGTTCTTTTCCCTTTTTTATTCAACATGGTAAATTTGAAAATAAAAATCTTCGTAAGACTTCGGCAATTTCGAAGCTGCGTCGAACAGAAATCCAAGATTGCATAGACCACTGGGATGAAGAAATGCAAGTAGTAGTAGTATGTCTGAATCGGTGTTCAGGTCGTAATGTACGACCTGGGAGGGTCAGGTTCAATCTAGACCTCTTCATCTCTACTTGACTGTTATAACTGACAAATGCTGCACGATAATTCACGAGATTAGTGCACAAATAATAATAATTATTACACTATTCCTATTACTCTTTTCAGGGCTATGTCCATGAATTTCAAACTTAAAGCGTCTATCTATTGGACGAACTACGTTGTCACGCGCTCGTTATCAGGACTTAATTAAATTTTTAGTGCTAGTTTAAACGAAAACTTAATTTTTTGAATTACTTAAGTGAGTAGTAAGAGTATAATAATTTCTGAATGAAGCTTAAGTGAAAATAAAATACTTATATGATTTGAAAAGATACATTCTACGTGGTCCCCTGGTGGGACAGCAGTAAGTCTACGAACTTACAACGCTAAAATCCGGGGCTCGATTCCCTGCGTTGGCACAGCATATAGCCCATTGTGGCTTTACTTTAATAATAAAAACATTCTAAACAAAACAAAGCTTTTATAACAATTTGTAAGAGTTGATAGGTTTGTATGTATTTCACTTGTCACCACTTTTGTATGTACTTTTCTTTTTTAGGAAAAAGTAGAATATGTTTTCCTGGTGATCTTCACAATTGAATGTATCATGAAAATTATAGCCTATGGGTTTTTATTCCACCCAGGTGCTTATCTACGTAATGCATGGAATGTACTCGATTTTATTATAGTAGTAATAGGGTAAGTAAAAATTTCAGAATACCTTTAAATGTTTGACAAGTCAAATTAATCTGACATAGATGAACCACCTGGAAGTCAAGGCATAGCCCAACCATTTTCTGCATTAATGGTTAGAATAAATTGCACAAATGTTTTATTAAGAATTTGTAATTTTGAAACAGCAAGAAAGTAATCTTTAAGAAAAGGATATGTATAGTTGTTTACTGGTGTGTGTGTATGTGTCATATTTAGGACTTCTGTTTTTTTGGGTGTAATTTTTTTTAAAGAGGTGTTTGTTTTGAGCTGATTTATAGTTTTACTTAGATATCTTAAAATCAGTGTTTTGGAGAGTTTTAATTTCTAATACTGTTATGAGCAAACTAATGTACGGTATATTCTCTGCACAAATTTATTTTATGGGAGTAATAACAGGTACAAAGTATAGTTCTATTTATTTTAAAGCTTTGTAAGAGAAAGTGGAGATGTTAATGTGATGTAAACTACATAACCATTTCTGGTGTTTATTGGTAAAACCCATTTAACTGTTTTTGTATCGAGGGTGTTTTATCAGTGTTAATCGGTTAAAACCAAAAATCAGAAGCTCTAGCTTTATTGTTCCTTACATAAAGACTAACTGTTTTAACAATTATTTTGTAACTTTGTTTCTATATAGTATCATTAGTACAGCCTTATCCACCTTTTTGAAGGAAGGTTTTGATGTCAAAGCCTTAAGAGCATTCCGAGTTTTAAGACCACTTAGATTAGTATCTGGAGTCCCTAGTAAGTATACCTGTTTTTTTTCTGTTTCACACATTGATAAAACATGGGCAACTCTGTAAAAGAAAAAGGAAATTCCTTTAATTATTCTGATTAGTATCTGTTAGAACACACAAAAGGTATATGGAAGAGTCCACCAGACAAATATAAATTTCAAAATAATTAAAACTGAAAAATTTATTATCACTTCTCCACTGTTTATAAAGTTTATGGTTTCAGTTGTGCAAATTACAGTTGAGACAACTGGAACATATTAGTTTTGTTTGTTTACTTCTGGATATAAAACATAGCTTCACTGTGTTATCATATTAAAGCAACAAAATTGATTGGGATCTTTTGTAATCATTTTAAACTTTAAGTTATCAACATCTTGTATAACTTAAAAACCTTGTAACTGGTTATAAGCCAATCTAACTTACACATAATATTGCTTGTAATAGCCCTATATACCAGAAAGGGTCCAATATAGTTAATCTTCTGTGTTTTTTCTACCTATTCTTAAACGTCATTGTCATGACAGAAAACATACTGTATCAAGATTAGATATATTACAGCTAAAGATTGTAGGTAAAAATAGAAAGAAAAATAGTAGTAAATAGTGTTATATTAATAGTAACAAATGTTAGTAGAAGAGAAATGGAAATTTGTTTGTAAAGTTTTTGTTGCCACTCTGACACAAACAGTTTTACCACTACACCACTAACTTAAATGCTTGTATTAAACAGACAGGGGATAATTTTTTCATCTTTGTTAAAATGAAAATTGGATTTCGACAGATCATTAGATAGCCTTTGATTATTAATGCACTATCAATATTTTGTTAGGCGTCATTACAATAGAAAGGTAATATCTGCCATAAAAATGGTTATACATGTAGCACATTATTTTGGTAAAAATGGGAGTTAATCTCAACATTAGAATTCTCTACACTCATTGTAGCTTTTTGCTATAGGTCATTTCCTAGATAATCATTAATGTCTTTGAAGACTGTTATAGTGCTTTAGAAGAATCACAATAAACAAGTGTTGGTATTGCATAAATGAGTTGAACGGGAATTAAAAGCCCACAATTAGCTCTCTGAATTAGTTATCATATGATAAGACATTTCTGTTACTTTGAAGTCTTTGTGTAATGGTTTGATAATGACTGAAGGTTATAATGGTATTGTTGCGTCAGCGAGGTCACGTGACTAGTATCACGCCACGTTTTCTAGAAATATCCTGTACCTTCAAGAACGCCCTAGCATTTACTAGATATGTGTTAGTCTTGTATATATAAGACGTTCACAACGTGACGGGACAACAGAGGTAATGAGTAATTGAATTGCAGTCAGAGAGAATATTGTTAAGCACGTGAGAATTATAGCGTTTGTTACAGAGCGACTGTCGAAATTAAGTGTATCGTAAAGTTGTATTCGGAAAGAATAAACCAGTTTTATTTAAGAAAGGACTTGTGTCGTTAAAGTTTCGTCGGAACGAATTTACGGAAAATTAACTAACGACTGGAGGCGTAACAGTATTATAGGTATTACATTTCTTAGAAAATTTGTATTTGTATTGATATTAGTAACTTTTAAGATCATAATTAAATGACAAGTTTGTTTTTATCATCTTTCACTCATTCTGAGATTATATATTTAATTAAAATGTTGATATTCAGCACACTGTTTTAAAGAATATCTAAAGAATAATGACTTAAGTTTTAAGAACAGATTAACTGTCCTGTTTAGTCATTCATTGTGCCCAAAGGTGAAGAAAGTAGTTCATTTGAGGAAGACGATAATTTCTTACAGTTTCATGCATTTTTTTCAGGTCTCAGACCATTACATAGGTGTTAATTGCTTGAAAAATAGAAAGTTTTGAAATTATTCTTAAATCATGCAGCCACTTCTGGAGGCTGGACTTGTGGTTTTAAGTTTTGTGACTTTTAATACATCTTACTGTTATTCTTTTGTTTTCAGGCCTACAAGTTGTATTGAATTCCATTCTTCGTGCCATGGTGCCTTTACTTCACATTGCTCTTCTAGTCATTTTCGTTATCATCATCTATGCCATCATCGGGCTTGAACTGTTTTCAGGAAAAATGCATAAGACTTGTTTTGATAACATAACAAGTAAGTCATAAATTTTTTACAGTTATTGTTTATACTATTTTAATAAATAATTACCTTTGTAAACGTAGTAGTCAATAGTTGAATTCATTATATACTACTTTGAAGTTCCATATATATGTGTGCAGGTATAAAGGATAATGTGCTCAAGAAATCCTTGTTGAAAAAAAAGGACAGTTTCTCTACGATACACATAAAAAATTAAAAGAACCTACTAAAGACATGTTCACAAAATGTATAGGTTTCTCATTGTTTGATGTGTTAGTTAAAGAATTATCTTGGTTTTAATGGAGTTATCTGTGAAAGAGAATTACCTATGTTAAGTAATTTTTATTAATTGTCTAACCTGTTGTTCAGTATGAATTATTCATCTTAAGGCAAGTTGAAAAAAAATAGCTAAATGACTGTACAGTTTTTGTCTCCAAACAAGTCAGTATTTGTTTGGCTTGTAATACAGACCATCTCTCATCTTAAGTACTAGATTGATTATATGGTAGTTTGAACTGTAAAAAGTGCCTTACCAATTGTATCTATATAGTAACCTTTTACTTGGTAGACCATTTGTCTGGTGCATGAAAAAACTTTGGTTGAATCTTGCTCAGAGGAGATGCAGAAATTGGAGCCAGTCTGATATATATGTCATATACACATTTAATATTAAATGTAACAGAATTTTACTGTAATAGAGACAACACTGATTATGCATAATGAGCTATAACTGGCTTATTAAACTGTGTGCAGAAACACAGGTTGTATTACATATAAAGAATTGTAAACATTATTTTAAGACATCATTCTTGACAAATAGTGTTGGTAATTGGTTGAAACATTAAGATCAATGACTGTTTCATTAGAACTGATCAATCATCGATTTTAATTGGTTAGCTACAATAAGTTGAAATAAAAACACTGCAAATTAGATGTATTTGTGTGTAATTTTATTCCTCCTCTATATTTTTACTGTTCAGGATGAATTCAGAACAAAGAAACACACAAAAAGTGCATGGCTTAAACTTTATGCATGAATATCTTATTAAAATCATTGGATTTCCTTCACTATTTTATTCAAACAATAAGCTCATCCAAAGTTCATTTTACACACAATAAATTTGTATAATTCTTTTAGCCCTTTAATTATATAACAAAAACTCAGCTTAGCTTGTTTCGGTGACTGTTAACCAGTGGGGATACCCATATCTGACAAAAGCTCAGCTTGATTTGTTTTGGTGACTGTTAACCAGTGGGGATACCCATATCTGACAAAAGCTCAGCTTGACTTGTTTTGGTCACTGTTAACCAGTGGGGATACCCATATCTGACGAAAGCTCAGCTTGACTTGTTTTGGTCACTGTTAACCAGTGGGGATACTCATATCTAACATAAGCTCAGCTTGACTTGTTTTGGTGACTGTTAACCAGTGGGGATACCCATATCTAACAAAAGCTCAGCATGTCTTGTTTTGGTGACTGTTAACCAGTGGGGATACCCATATCTAACAAAAGCTCAGCTTGACTTGTTTTGGTGACTGTTAACCATTGGGGATACCCATATCTGACAAAAGCTCAGCTTGACTTGTTTTGGTGACTGTTAACCAGTGGAGATACTCATATCTAACAAAAGTTCAGCTTGACTTGTTTTGGTCACTGTTAACCAGTGGGGATACTCACATCTAACATAAGCTCAGCATGTCTTGTTTTGGTGACTGTTAACCACTGGGGATACCCATATCTAACGAAAGCTCAGCATGACTTGTTTTGGTGACTGTTAACCACTGGGGATACCCATATCTAACAAAAGCTCAGCATGACTTGTTTTGGTGACTGTTAACCAGTAGGGATATCCATATCTAACAAAAGCTCAGCATGACTTGTTTGGGTGACTGTTAACCAGTGGGGATACCCATATCCTACAAAAGCTCAGCTTGACTTGTTTTGGTGACTGTTAACCAGTGGAAGATAGGTATCTCCACTGGTTAACAGTCACCAAAACAAGTCAAGCTGAGCTTTTGTTAGATATGGGTATCCCCACTGGTTAACAGTCACCAAAACAAGTCAAGCTGAGCTTTTGTTAGATATGGGTATCCCCACTGGTTAACAGTCACCAAAACAAGTCAAGCTGAGCTTTTGTTAGATATGAGTAAAATTATGTTTGATTTACTACATAAACATCTAGTTTTCTTGCCATGAGGTTGAGAAGTGAAAATTTAACAAAAATATAAAAACAACATATCCCAAAAAATAATATTGTAATTGGTTATAATGATTTATGAAAAATTGTTATTGAAAGCCTGGTCATTTGACTCTGATAACCAATGTTTATTTATTCTGATTAGTTGTCACACCAGTATTGATAAAATGCAAGTGTATTGCTTGATTCATTGCAGTGTGGAATTGCTATTTTTCATGTTTTAGCCCCAAGTGCATAGAGAAATAGGAAATGAATAAACATACATTCATATTGAGCTCAATCCTGTTAAAGCTGGAATAGCTATTAATTTTACACTTCATTAATCAGCATTAGAACATATCTTTATTCAGATGTATTCAGGCAAATGTTTCTAAAATTGTGTACGGTTTCTGCATGTAGTTAATCATGTCTGTGCTGATTGGATGTTTCATGGTTGCAAACGTGTTAATTCTTTGGTACAGGTAAAAGATACATCCTGCAGCCTATATTCTTAGGTCTCAAACTAGTATATATATATATATTTCTTTATGGACTAGGAAGATAAACTATTCTAACAGGCAATATAAAAACCTTTAGAACTAGTGTGGCTTAGAATTGTTTGTAAACCATTGGTTGAAATATGCAACTCATGGACTTGTGGGATAACCTATTAAGGCTTTTGCCTAGGTACGTAAATCAGGTGTTTCTATAATTTTATTCCATGATTCTCATGTTTTTTTGTGTGTCTTGGTATCTGTTTTTTGCACTTCTTGCATCTTTTGACCCCCAGCAGCCAGTTGTACAGAATTAGAAGCTAACCAATGATTTAGTGTTTAGTTCATTTGTTTCTGTCCAACTTATTCATTGCTTAAAAGACCTGAATGTGTACTTTTGCAGAAACTTTTGGCTTTTATGGAATACGTCAATGAAGCTGAGTTCTGTACTGTTAATATTATAGATTTTGTCTATTGAGTAATTTTGTAGAACTTATGAACAATGAATTCCAAACTTCATGTTAATTTGCCTGATTCACTAGCTTTCACCTCCATTCAAGATAAATTGTCACATAATTACAGGTGAACCAAACATTTCTCTTAGGAGAAGCATGTTTTCCTCCATTTTACTTTCATAATTGAATCTAAATTATTAATATCCTATCCCAACTGGCCTAAGAGGCCCTGGTATTGGGATATTAAATACCTCTTTGGCACTGGATATAGCAGACATAGTATGGTTGGTATATTATTGTACATTCTGCTTTTACTTAAAAGTTTTTATTTATAAATAATATTTCATGTATGTACCCTTGCATTTTGTTTCTTACAAGCTTAAAACATGAAATTACAATATATTCCAATGTCTTAGTTAAGAATATATTTGACAGTTGTCAAGAAAAAAGTGTTCAGGATATTTGTATCAAACAACAAGTATGTATATTTTTATGTTTTTTTGTATCAAGAAATAGACAATTCTTATATTTTTAATTTCTTTTGAGCTCTCAGAAATGACTGTGAACAATTCAGAACAGTACCTGAAAAATATGTTCATCGGGTGTTGAATATTAATGATTTTCAGAGGTGATTGGACTGGATGATCCCCACCCTTGCTCAGTTGGATCAAGTGGCTTCCATTGTAGTGAATATAAAGAAAATCTTGTGTGTAGAGAATACTGGGATGGCCCAAACGATGGAATCACAAACTTTGACAATTTTGGCCTTGCCATGTTAACTGTATTCCAATGTGTGACATGTGAAGGATGGACAGATGTTCTGTATGATGTAAGATGTCTCTGGTTTTTGTATATTTTATAATAGAACATAATTTAAAAACTTGAAGCATACTTACCTTTGATAGTAAGCACCATACAGTCAGTTTTACAGATTCCTGAACATCCAGACCAGTAGGTTATCTTATGCTACAATGTTTTAATGGTAATTAGGTTTTCTGCATTTGCATTGCTAAATTAGTGTTATATATATATAACTCTTCTTTTTTTATATATTTCAGATAGCATGATGGCTTATTGATGAAGACATGTTTTGCATTTTCTTTTCATATTTCTTTATTACAGCATATAAAGAAATATCAGTAATAAAGATCGTTTTTTTAATTATAAGCTAATCTGTAGAAAAGCAATAATTCTAACTTAATTACAGTCATTAATTTTTGTATAGAGAGCTTTTTATATTTATGTATATTGTATACTAAGACAAAATAGTATACGTATTATGCAGTGTGCTGTTGCTAGTGGTAGGGCAAATAGGATTTTAGGTTGTATCTACAGAAATATTGAATACTAGTCTAAAGAGGTTATAATTTCATTGTATAGGTCACTCATTACGCCACATTTGGAATATCGAGTTCACTTTTGGGCTCCTTACCTTAGGAAAGACATTGAATTGTTGGAAAGGATTCAGAGAAGGGTTGCTAGAATGGTGCCATGGAGGGAGGGGTTGTCTTACGAGGAGAGGCTGAAATTTCTCAAATTGTTTTCTCTTGAAAAAGAAGAGTTAGGGGATCTGATTGAGGTGTTTAAGATTGTAAAGGGAATTGATAATGTTGATGCATCATCTTTTTTTCATATTTAACACAGAGAATAGTAGGACTATGGGACACAAATATAAATTTTACGAAGGTAGTAGTCATCTTCAGCTAAGACAGTTTCATTTTCCAACAGGGTAGTTGACCTTTGGAATGTGTTGCCTTCAGATGTTGTAGAGGCAGTAATTTTAAGTTAGTTTAAGAAATAGCTTGATACGTATATGAATGGTAAGAGTTGGCTTTAAGATTTATTTTAAAAATGATTCTAATATATTTTAAAGGATGGAACAGCTGAGATGGACCAATAAATCCCATGTTGTCCTAAAAGTTATGTTATATTATTTTGTATACTAAGACAAAATAGTATACTTATTATATATATTGTATACTAACAACACATATTATACTTGTTATGTACATTGTATACAAAGACAAAATGGTATATTTATTATGTATATATTGTATGCTAAGAACACATGTACCCTTTGAAAGATTTGGTAATTTTCATCTTTGGAAGTTGTATTATGAAAAAAAAATTAACATTACTTTGAAGAACAGTCTTAATTTGTTCACATTCAACCAATTGCAGTTTGTTTTACTATAATATAGAATACTGTAAACATTTATTTGGAAGTTACTGACCTCAAATTTATAATAAAGCTCTCAAATTAACATTAAGACAATTCCTTGCTCATATAGCTGATTAATCTTCAGACTTTTCCAGTAGTACATTTTTGAAAGTTCTTGTCTGTGTTTGTCTAACATTACAATATTCAAACATGTTCAGCTCACCTTAAATAAATGTGACTTATTCTCTGTGAGGATAAAAAACAAAAAAATCAGTTACTTATTACTGTTAATATATATCTTCTGTCAGATAAATGATGCTGTGGGAAATGAATGGCCATGGATCTATTTCTTAAGCCTCATCATCATTGGTTCTTTCTTTGTTCTTAATCTTGTGTTAGGTGTACTAAGTGGGTAAGTTTTATAATTTATTTATAGTTTTATATCATTCATAATCAGGAATCAGTTAGTTTCAAATATGCACACATGTGAAGTAACTTAATGTTGATAAAAGGAAGAATACTACATATAATATAACTGGTTTAATTTACAGAGAGTTTTACTTTTAAACCTAATTTGAAGTGTTTTTTCAACAAATATTAATATTCATGTAACAAAATTTCTGTTTTTAAAGACAAATATTCAAGTTAATTTGACAGAAAGACACAGAGTAATATTTAGTGACTGTTATGTTATGTATTTCAGTAGGCATAACACAAACCCAGTGATTTAACTTATATTGAATTTTTTATAGGCAATTCTCAACCCATAAAATTTCCTAATGTGAATATAACTTAAATTTAACAGCAAATCTCTCAGTGAAATGAGAATGAATTATTTAGTATAATGTTTGTATATTATTTTTATATCAACTAGAATGCTATCTATTTTGACAGTGTAAATGATAACACTAAAAAAACTTAGTCACATTTAATAGATTTTTGCTGTTATGTGATGAAGTTGACTTTTTTTATGAGTATGATAGTCTCCTATGGATTAGCAGTAAGCTTGAGGGCTCATATTGCTAAAATTTGGGGTTTGATCCCCACAATTGACACAGTGCAGACAGCCCATTGTGAACCTTTGGGCTAAAACACATACTAAAAAAAAACAAGTATGAGAAAATGAACAAAATGGATGTTATTCTCACTCTGGTAGATAAGAGTGTAGGTCGTCTACTCTCTAATAAGTTATGTAGAGACTATTGTATTGTTTCTGCTTTGATAAGCAAGTTATGTAGAGACTATTGTATTGTTTCTGCTTTGATAAGCAAGTTATGTAGAGACTATTGTATTGTTTCTTTGATAAGCAAGTTATGTAAAGACTTGTATTGTTTCTGCTTTGATAAGCAAGTTATGTAGAGATTATTGTATTGTTTCTGCTTTGATAAGCAAGTTATATAGAGACTATTGTATTGTTTCTGCTTTGATAAGCAAGTTATGTAGAGACTATTGTATTGTTTCTGATTTGATAAGCAAGTTATGTAGAGACTTGTATTGTTTCTGCTTTGATAAGCAAGTTATGTTGAGACTATTGTACTGTTTCTCCTTTGATATCTGGATACAACTATGTGCAGTTGATTGTTTGTGTATTTTAAAGTCATAATAAAATGCAACAAAATGAGGTGTAGGGTGGTAAAGAGTTCTTTGTGACATGTTGCAAAACTTATTTGTGAAAGGTTTCTTAAATTATAGGAAATGATAATTATTATTTTAAATGAGTAATGTATGCATTTTATTTATTGATGAGTAGATTAGAAAACTAGAAAACATAATAGGTAAAAATATTTCATGACAGTGCTTGAGCTCCTTCTCTAGAGTTACTTATGGGTATAAGAGATTTAGTGACAAGTTACAGCTTACAATGTATTTAGTAGACAGTACTCCATGTCAGTTGTTAAAAATAATCAGTTAATGGTACACGATTCATGATATAAGAAACTTGTGATGGCTTTTTTGGGATGAATATAGATCCTGTTCAAAACTCTGCATTAAAATTATAATTTTGCTGGACAGGGAGTTCACCAAAGAAAGAGAAAAGGCTAAAGCAAGAGGAGATTTTCATAAACTTCGAGAAAAGGAACAAATTGAAGAAGATCTTCGGGGTTATTTGGACTGGATTACACAAGCAGGTAGGAGGGGAAATCACACAAGATTTAATTGTTCTAAGTTAAATATTGTGTATCTATAGGTTCTCTTTGTCAAAATCAGGAAAAGTACTTTAAAATGCTAAGTTATGAAGATATATCTAGATGTTTTATTTCAGTAAAGTTTGATATTCATTAATTTATTTATCCACTTAGGTTAAGAATTACAGACCATAGAAAAAAGATACTCTGTGTTTTTGGTCCTAATGATAGTAGGACGTTTTTTTTTTTATAGAATCCTGAATAGGTGGACATGTATTTTCATATTATAAGTTATACCAGTAACTTGTTTAAATTACACACAGTTTAGTAACAAGAACTCACCTGGAATGGAATTTCTGAGATATTTCTAAGAGCTGTTTATTATTTGACTTTTAACTCCTAAAAGTCCAGTCAATGACAGCTCATGTTATTTTTGTGTGTCTGAATATCTGTATATCTTTTCCTATTTGTAGAGGATATAGATCCAGATGAAAATGAAGGAAGTGAAGATTCAAGACATGGTAAATGAATTTATTAGTGTACTTTTTATTTAATCTTTTCAAATTAAAACTGTTATATAATATGTATAAGTAAGCATCAGCAAAATAATATTAATAATAATAATAATAAATTAGTTCTTGAATGTACAGTTTTGAAAGTAATTATTGAAATGGTGAGGGAAAGATGTTAAAGGAGCATGTTAAAAGAGTAATAGCACTGGCTAATTGCTTAGGCTCCCCTCCATACACAATAAACATGTTGAGTCCTAGTGCAAAAATGTATTTTTGGACGGACTACTGTAGTGTGAGTGCCCCATATTTAATCCTTTTACTGTCAAATCCTAAGACGATTGACTTAAACATTAGGCTACTGAGATGCCAGAGTTAAAAGAGTAAGGGGTAAATACTATAGGAATACCACTCCTTTGTCTTATGAAAATTAACTGCCCAGATTAAATTAACACGTTAATAGTTTACACTATGATTGGTTGTCATTCAAACAATTCACAATAATCCACTGATGAAATGAATAGCTGCAAGGTGCAATGCTTTGTGTAAGACAAAGAGCTCACAAACAAATTACTTGTGCATTGTTCAACTTATTATTATTCTTTTTTTTATTTTCAGTGATACTGTTTTGTACCATTAATAAGTCCCCCATTTAGTTGTTTGTGAATGTGTCCCATTTGTGTATTTCCACAAATGTTTCCATTAATGCAGACAAAATATCTCCAGTCTCTGGATATTTCTCAGTACCTAAATCTGGCTTAACAATATTAGAGTCAGATGAGATTCATTGAAAATGATTTTATAAGTTTAATTTTTAATAAATAAAAGAGGATACATATAGTTAAATTAATCATTTATTATGTGCAATGTTACAAAATGAAAATACATTACTTTTTATAAGCAAATTCTGTGTTTTGAATTTTAAAGGCATTCTTTAGAAAAAATACATAACTTATATTAAGCTTTTTTTAGCCAAGCTAGTTTTAAATATGCATAATTGTTATTCTATGTTCTTTAAAACACACTGCTAATTTATTATCTTTACTAAATGTCAATAATGTAAACATGAAACATCATTATTTTTCTTTTCTTTCTTGCTATGTGTTATGTAAGTGTTTACAGTATTATTTTTATAGTTCCATAATATATGATAAAAGTTAAGAATGAAGTTTATATTAAAGCAAGCTCTTGGAGATAAAACTTGAAATTCGTAAATGAACTACTTTCACGTCATTATGAGATGGGTTTTACTTGTAACTGATGAAAAATCTTACTTAGATATATGTTGAATTTAAACATATGAATTTTATGCATAATATAACTGAAAGGAACAAATCAACAAAGAGTGTGTAGGTAATAAAGTATGGATATGCTTATGTCTTATGCAGATGTTTATGTGTTCAAGCACAATGATGTAGATATTGGAGACAAGATAGAAGGGGAAACTAACAGTGTAGACAACTTAAAAAACCCATCTTGGTGGGCAATCAGAAGGTTTGTGTTTTCTTTCATGCCAGTATATTGATATTATATTTTTTGTAGTGAATGGAAGAAATTTTACTAGAATAAAGTAATGAATAAGAAATGAGGTAGTTCTAGAACTTAGGCTCACATTGTTTTTTTTTTATTTTATACAAATAAGTTTGAAGAAAATCTTAAATGCATTAAATTTGGGATTCATATAAGTATGTCGGAAAATTTTTTTTCTTTTTTAACTGACGATATTCCTGAAATAAATGATTATTCACTTATACTTGCAAGTAAATTTTTTTTTATAAACTTACTCTTACAACATAATATAT